GGTCGTCGTCCTCCTCCTCCTCCTTCTCGGAGAGCTCATCCTCCAGGAAGATGCCACCCAGGCCATATTCCCACTCGTGGACAGAGGCCTCGTTGGGGGTGACGTGGGAGGCGCCACCCACAAAGTCAGCAAACCTGGGAAGAAGCCACGAAGCAGCACATTGAGCACTTGTGGTCAGCGGCCTCCAGCGAGGCCCTGGCACACCAAGAGCTGGGGAGAAGCGTTTCGGTGCTGGGACCGGGCCTTATCTGTCCCTCCCGTGCAGCACCGGCCTCCTGCGCCTCCGTCCCCCGATCTCTGAAGCCAGAGGTGACAGCAGAGGCGCGGAGACGCAGGGGCCGTTACCTCTTGGGAGATTGGATGCGGGAAACCGCGGTCCAGGCAGAGAATTCGGGGCTCCTGCAGTAGCTGCGAAGCTCCTCGAGGGCCCTGCGCGTCTCCACCTCGCCCTGCAGCCGATATTCCTCCTCCGTCAGCAGGCGAGGGGGGCTCGGGCTGAGCCTGGCGCTCTGCACCCTCCTGCCAGCAAAGCAGCACCAGTTACCAGCCACCCAGCCGGGACTGGACCCAGTGCAAGCTCCCAAGGTGGCTGGGATGGAGCAGGGCACATCCCCTCGGACCCAGCTCCTGTGGAGGCTCCCAGCCCTGAGGAGAAAGGGGGCAAACCCAGGGGAGAAGGGACCCAAACCGCAGTGAAAACGCCCTGGTTCTGCCACGCAGGCTCCATCCATTGCTCACCCAGACCCGGCTGGGAATCGTGGGCAACCCCAGGGGCTCGCAGTCCTCACCTGTAGGCAGCCAAGGCCCATTGCAAGGGGTAGTCCAGGTTCTTGGTGCAGACGGCGATGACCACCGAGGCCAAGGCGATGGGATGGATCTGGATGCCCGAGTACATCAGCAGCAGCCCCAGGAGCTGCAGGGCCCAGGAGAGGAGGCTGACGCTGCGCTCGTTTTCCAAGGGGCCGTACCTGTAGCACACGGCGAAGCTGGCGAAGCCCACGAGCAGCAGGTACCCTGCGGGACACGGGAGGGACAGGGCAGGGGTGAACCCAGCCTGGGCGACAGAGCTGGGTGAGCAGAGTCTGCGCCAGGGCTGCAGACAAAGCCCAGAGCCCACGGGGCTCCGCAGCCCCGAGGAGGGAGAAGCCTCCGCGGTTTCCATGCGGTGGCAGACGGGCAGACCGGGGAACCAGCGAGGGCGAAGGATTTGCTCCTACCCAGGAGGTACTGCCAGTAGGACTTGCAGATCTCCCGCAGGTTCTTGAAGATCAGCTGAAGCAGGTACAGGGAGAAGGACCAACCTCCCACCAGCAGGAAATACACCGGGCTTTTCTAGGACAGGAGATGGGACACTCAGGACAGGCAGGGGGCAACCAGGGCTACCCAGCCCCGAGGCCCCGTACCCCGGTACAACCCCACTGGGGTGGAAAAGGCGACGGCTGCCCCCAGCCAGCCCAACGCTCACCTTGGGCATGACCTTGGACACCATGTAGACGAGGATGAGCAGCGAGGCCAGCAGCCCAAAGCTGATCCCGGCCGAGTAGTAGAAGAGTTGGCTCCTGCAGAGATCCCCCGGGTGTCGCGCTACTCAGGGACGCCCGTGCACAACGTGCAGGGAGCAGCCCCCCAGAGTCCACCCAGCCCTGACGTCCCCAGGGGGGCAGGGGGTGGCTCACCGGCTCAGCACGTCCCCGCAGAAGAACAGCAACAGGCCCAGGAAGAAAACCAGGAACAGCTTGGGGTCAAAGCCTGGGAACAGAGCAAGATTGGGTTGAGGGGAGCACCCAGGGCTGAGCTGCAGCTTCCCACAGCACCACGAGAGCAGGGGCAGCGTCCCAGGCGAACCCCAAAGTGCCCTCCGCTCCCCCGTGGATGAAGACGCCCTTCCCTCCACAGTCCCGTTCTCCTTAAAGGAGCTGGCCCGGCCTTGTCTCCATCATCCCCTCGGGAGCAAAGGCAGAGCCAGAGCCACCGCCCAGCCCAGCAGCCCCCGCGGCGGAGGGGACGCACGTCGGAAGAGGACGATGCAGTAGGTGGTGCCGGCCTCCAGCAGCTCGACCTTCAGGCAGGTTTTGTTGCTGTACAGATCCACGTCGATGCTGGTGTCGTTCAGCTTCTCCTTCAGGAAGGAAAAGACGACGCTCCACACGCTGAACTCCTCCAGCTCCTCCTCGCTGCCCACCTGGGTGACTCGGATCATGCGGCTGCTGTTGACCCGGATCTGCACGGGGCAGGGAAGCAAAAGGAGAGGGGGGAGCTTGGCCACGGCTGCCGGAGGAGCTCGGCCCTACCAGGACCTTGCCCACCCCTCTCACCTGCACCCTGGTCCAGATGTCGTGCCATTGCGGGGCGCGCGTGTTGGTGTAGCAGAAGTGGTGAGGAGCCGAGTAAAGGGACGCGCGGCCCTCACGGAGCGGGATGATCGAGTCCTTGGCATCTGCAGGACACAGAGCAGGGGAAGGGATCACAGGATCACAGAACGGCTCGGTTGGAAAAGCCCTCTGAGATCATCACGTCCAACCGCTCCTGTCTACCCCCTAAACCATATCCTTAAGTACCTCATCTACCCGCTCTTTAAACACATCCAGGGATGGTGACTCCACCACCTCCCTGGGCAGCCTGTGCCAGCTTCTGACGACCCTCTCAGTAAAGAACTTCCTCCTTATCTCTAACCTGAACCTCCCTTGGCACAGCTTGGTGCCGTTTCCCCTTGTTCTATCCCCCATCACCTGGGAGAAGAGCCCAGCACCCACCTCTCTCCAAGCTCCCTTGAGGCAGTTGGAGGTGGTGATGAGGTCTCCCCTCAGCCTTCTCTTCTCCAGGCTGAACAAGCCCAGTTCCCTCAGCCGCTCCTCATCAGGCTTGTTCTCCAGAGCCCTCCCCATCCTTGTGGCTCTGCTCTGAACTCGCTCCAGAACCCAAACCAGTCTGGTCTCACCCACCCAAACACGGACCCGTTTCCCCCTCCCGGAGCTCCCTTAGGCAGAAACAAAGACAAAAGCCCTTCCTCCGTCTGCCTCGGGACACGGTGCCCGGTTCTTTTCGGGATAACCCCGCTCCCGG